AAGTTACTTCCGATCCTTTGGATGTGCCTGTTCTGGTCTGTGATTAATGCAGAGACAATTGAAAATACAAACGGCAAACCTGAGTTTCTGATTCAACGGTAACGAAAATACCTGAGCATAATGGCCTTGTACACGAGGGATAGGAATGTGATTGGTATCAAGGCGTAATGATTGCTCATCCGCTTGAGTGAGACTGAAAGGAAACACCTTGTACTGGATTCGGGGTGTTTCTTGAATGAGGCGCCAACCACAGACTCTCACGCTTTGTGCTACATATCGTGTCAATTGACATGATATTCAGAATAATCATGCAACCTGCAGAAAGACACACCATAGGAATGCTTCTGCATCTCCATCGATTCCAAATGGAATACAGTCAAGCTACTAGGACGGGAATATGAGCGCAGAGTGATCCAAAGTACCGCTATAAATACCTTGTTGGGTCGCCCGCAAGCTCGGCTTGGACATCCTCGATGAATCTGGTCTGAAACCTAGAGAGGTCTTTCCCATGACGTGAAGTGATTGGAGCGAGCGCATCGTCAAGACGCGACCTCGCTAGAGAGCGCGCGGCATCCTTAGTGGCCCTGCCAATCAGTTCTTCCATAATTCGAGCGATGCCATCTCGCACTACTGCTAACGTCGGGATGCTTTGTTCCTCGCTTGAGAGCCACTCTAGGAAGGTCGTGTCACTCATAGCCTGGGCTTTGGCCTTTGCAACCGCAACCTGGTCTGTCTGCCAGCCCAAAGCAGATTTCCACCAGGAGAGTTGGATTCCTCTCTCTCGCAGAACGGGAGCGTCGCCTCCATAATCAAGGATATCTCGAATGATCCGCATCTTGTCTTTTTCTTCAAAATGCGCTTTTGCGAGGATATTCCTAGCTAGGACGCTGCGATACTTTAACTTTTCAACTTGCTTGGATTTCGAAAGCTTCAGATGGGACGCTGTAATCGCCTGCAAATTCTTAACCAGCCAGTCTTCAAACACGTTAGCGTGGTGCGACTTGATGCTTAAAAGGCGGCCTACCAGCGACTAAAGCATCGTGAACTTGGGTAGGGTTCTTAGCTACGGCTAATGGGATGATTCTGGTAAAATGAAATAAACAAGGTAACTACATCTCGAGTATTTGTTCAAAAAATGAGGCTTATAGATACGTGTGCAACACCTCCCTTTGCAACGCTACGGTGATAGCGGAGAGGCAATCTTCCTCATAGGCCCTTAGGCCCTCGTGAACCTTCCTGCGTTCTTCGGTCACAACACACCTTTGAGCTTCCTTCAGTTCTCGACGGCAGCGCTCAAACTGTACGCAGATTGCCGGAAACCTTTGTCGCAAGCCATTGTCGAGTAGGAACGAGAGAGTCTCTTCATCCAATGAGCTTGGGAGGTGGATTGAAGAAGTGCGGTCCCTACAGATGACGAAATTTTAGTGTCAAGACACATATGATGTATACCAAAGATAACGAACGTTATGAAAGCCGTCAAACGCATTGCATACATAGCCTCGTTCAGGTACTCTTTACGTACTTTTGCCGAGACATAAGTTGAGGTCATGAAACCGCACGCCGTCTCCCCAGCCATTACTGAAGCCCCAAGCTTGTGGTCCGCAAGAGAAGCAAGAAGCGTGGGGTCATTGGAAAAGGTGACGTCCATTAAAAAGACCTTGTGAAATCCAGTAAGTGATTACGAAGCCGAAGAAAACCAAAGGGTGAAAAACCTTGAATCCATCCCTAGATGTAACGCTCTCCGTCTCATCGCGAGTCTGAGCAACTTGGAATGTGAACATTCTCCCATGATCATCATCGAGCTCATTGTCTCCTGCATCCAGTGATGAGTCTTGAGCTTTCCAGTTGAATGATTTGGATTGCTCTGGTGATACAACTGCTATTGTCTGGTCTACGAGCTTTGACATGTATCTAGGAATGAGGTTAGACAAAATATTCAGCGACCTCAGAAAAATCTACCTCATGAACATGGCACGATTCTTCATAACGGAAGAAGTGGTACCATCCTCCCAAGTGGTCGCTTCAGGCCAGTATACGACGAACGCCTTGACTTCGTTGTTGACAAGTGCGGAAACAGGTCGGACAACAAAGTACAAGCCAGAACGGAGATCAGCGTTCTTGGAATTGGACTGATCATTATTGGATCGAAGGAGTAGATCGGCTCTATGGAAGAAAAACGAAAGTTCCTCGCGTGCGTAGATCACCTCAGGATAATACCGGCTTACCCTTGCTCATTGATAACACCGGCATTGGCAAGTAGCTTGACGATTTCGGGCCTACTCCCGTAGATGCCAACAGGCTTGATACTCGTCTGTCAAAATAGCATGAACCATTCCAGTTACTCGATAGAAGATTGAATTGACCCACGAGATCGAGAGCCTTGAAGTCAATCTTAGTCATCGACGTGTAGGCTCCCAGTTGCAGTGCATTGATAAGTTGGCCAAGAGAATGTTGAGGGATGACAATTTTGTCAACTGCATCAATGTCGGTAGTTGAATTGGTCGAATGTGGTATTCGAACTTACCCAAGCCGCCGCTTCCTTGTTCCAGAATAAGATCCAAAAGTCTATACATTCCCGGAATTTGATTGAGGAGATCCGACTCATCACCACGTAAGCCATCAGTGGGCAAAGAGGGGAAATCGTGTTCAGAATTAGATCGTACTAATGACGCTTCATTGATTGAAGTAGAGTCGTATTCCTCACGAATCGGGGATCGCAGCTAGAATATACCTGTTATAAGCTTCCCAAGTACGACAGGGATCTAATTTCTGGCACACACTGTATTGTTTTCGGAAACGACAACCTCTTCCGTGTTTGATTTAATTGAGGGTAGAAAATCTCGAATGGACAATGAAACATCGGTTGTCTAGAGAATTATATATTGTAAGCAACGGACGATAATACAACTAGGATGGAAAAGGGGACCAGAGAGTCCTTCCATGCTGATGTGCTCTGGATAAGAGGGGAAGCAAGTGGCGTAGCCTCGACGGAGTAGAATTCATCAAAGGTGGCGGCATCGTCGACACCATCATAATCAAGGACACCATCATAATCAAGGACATCGACGGTCGTATCAGTGGGAGTCATAACGTGGGCTTCATCTTCAGAATCTGTGAATTTACAACATGGTTCAGCTCGTATATCACTAGAGACGATAACAGAAACGAACCACATGTGTTTTCCACCGGAAGTATGGTATCGTCAGAATCTTCAAGAATGCGGAAATCGAAATTGAGGGTGCCTCGGAGCTTTGTCGTTTTCCTGTGGCTGCCGGCAAGTGCACGGTCGTCACTTGAGCTAGTAGCTTGTGCGCGCAGTATATTCATGAGTAGGTGTTAGGACGCAAGAAAGGAGGGTGGGTTTGGGGTACAGAAAGTGCGAGGCTGCCACAAGGACTGTTCTTTATAAGTGCAACGGAATCTATTTCAGAAGACGAAGCCAAGTGATAAACCATTTCCAGGTTAAAAGCCCTCAACCACGGCCTCATGTAGCCCAGAGTTGATTAAAGCATCGCGTGTTGGCCACATTGTCTCTATGAATACTTTATATGTGCTGTCGAAGGAGTAGAAACTTTGCCGCGGAACGCGATGCGTTCATTTCGGGCGTCGCCGCCCATTCGAACTCCTACCCACAAATTTCAAAGAGCGCTACAACGATGTTTTCCCCTACCGTTTCCACCTGATATTTACTGCCTAAAACCACTCTCATGGTCATCTAGAATAGTCTGGCGGCGTCATCAAGGTTCAGTAATTCATCTCTCCTGCACCTTCCTGCATCAATCTAACCCGCAATACGAATGTCAATAATAGGAGAACGGTGAAAGCCTGACCTGTCAGAGCGTAGACTCCGCCGCAATTCTAATCTTTTCTCAGCATGCATCAACCCGCAGTGACATGCCAACATGGCACAGAGCCTAAATATATGCAATCAGGTTCTCTGAAAGGTGTAGGGAGAAGATGGCTTGTAATGAAATCTAGACCCATCGTTTCCTTAATCTCCCTCCCGCCTTCGCGGTCTGCTGAGAGTTCTGCATGACATTCTGTCTGTCTGCTCTTCCTAGTCACAGCTACGTTTGAGTGGATTTGATCTAATCCATCGAAACCATGAAACCATGATATATCTAGTCAAAAACGCCGAGGCTCAAGCCCATAAGTAGGTGAGTGCAGAGTGGACGTTCTAGCGACGGACACAGATATAAAATTAGCAGGCTTGAACATTTTTTTAGGTACAGAGCAATGAATCGCCGGGCAAAGAGACGCGAACCTCAATGCAGTCAGATGCAGCCCCTGTATCAGGGCATCTATACGTGGGCTAGCTTGGCCTTGGCCTACGTAGAGACCTATCCTGATACCGTGACAGGGACAGTCGGCTTCGGCAATGAACCTTAAAAGAGGCGCACTGGAGTCCATGTACCACAAGCATGTAAACTCAATGATGAACTTGATGTTCTGTGCTGATATGTACCTCGACATGCTCTCATTGTATGGTCACAAGACTCTTAGACCCTCCCAGACACACACCCTTCTATGCCTTACCGAGCGCGCATGTTGATGGCGGGCCGCTTCGCCTAACTTGAGGAGGCTTCTCTCATTTCTCTTTGCGCCCGTCCCTTATAAACCGCTCATAGCCCGCATATGCGGCCTTGCGCCTCTGCCTCCTTCCTGCTTGGCCACTCACCCAAAGATAACACTTATCATGGGCGTAGGTGACATCTCCTTTCCACTTGATCCCGACATCCTGCTTATTGACAACCTTTCGGTTTTGTCCCATAGTACAACGCCAGAATTGCTGCCAACCCAGTACGACTCGACAATACCTTTATTAGAGGCTCACTAATGAAATTCTCATCCAGTATGTGGTCGGCTCTTTTGCGTGTATAGGCGGTGGCCTTTTTGGGTTGGACATCTCGTCTATGTCTGGTGTGCTCAACGTGAGTGGTATTAGTTAGGTTAAGTCAGCAGTAAGATTGGTCCCTTATCATTGCATATTGAGCCTTCAGAACGATGCCTACCTGAAAACTTTCAGCTCAGTACGTGTCATTTAGCCTTGAAAATCGCGTTGTCTGCTTACCTTGGGTCAATAAAGCCCGGTCCTAATGCTCAAGGTGCAATCGTTGCCGCCATGCCTGCGGGTTCGTTTGTAGGCGCGCTCGCCGTCAGTGCTCTTGCCGATAAATTCGGTCGCAAAAAGACTGTCATCCTTTCTGGTATCATCTGGGTCATCGGCGCGATTTTGCAGTGCGCTTCAATCGTAAGCATCTTCTACTCTGAGAGCTTTCCGTTGCATGACATGTGGTATTCCCACAATAGAACCGAGGTATGCTAGTCGTTGGTCGTATCATATCTGGTATCTCTGTCGGTCTTGCGTCCGCTGTCGTTCCTGTCTATCAGTCAGAGATTACGGCTCCTCATATTAGGGGACGTCTCGTCGCCATGCAGCAATGGTCCATCACTTGGGGCATCCTCATTCAATACTTCATCCAGTTTGGCTGTTCCTATATCAACGGTGTCGCCTCGTTCCGAATCCCGTGGGGTCTCCAAATGATACCAGCCATCATCCTCTCTACGGGCATGCTGGCGTTCCCCGAGTCTCCTCGATGGCTCGTTGATCACAACAGGTTTGTCTTTGCATTGAATTCGCACCTGACGAGTACTGGGTACTGACAAGATGGCACAGGGAGGATGAAGCACTCCAGATCCTCGCGGATCTTCATGGTGGAGGTGATCCTAATAATGCACTCGTGCAGCTCGAGTTTGAGGAGATCAAACAACAGGTCTACTTTGAGCGTACCGAGGGCGCCAAGTCTTACTTGGATCTTTTCAAGCCTGGAATTTTCCGTCGTGTCGGGCTCGGCGCATCGCTCCAGATGTGGTCCCAGTTATCTGGCATGAACATTATGATGTGCGTCCTTTTCATTTTCTGCGTTTTCGTTGATGCTGACTATGTCCCTATAGGTACTATATCGTCTATGTGTTCCAAGGCGCTGGCCTAACAGGTCGTCGTGGGAACCTGATCGCCGATTCTGTTCAATATGTTCTAAATGTTGCCTTCACTGGTTCGTCCTCTTGGTCTGTGCTCTGTTGCTTGTAGTATTGACAGACTTGATAGTACCCGCCATTCTCTACATCGATCGCTGGGGTCGCCGCCCTATGCTTCTCGCAGGCACCCTGTTCATGGGATTTTGGCTGATGCTTGTTGGCGGTCTGCAAGGTAGATACGGACACTGGGGTACAGTCGGCACCGATCGTGTTTGGGTCATTGATGGACATGACGGTGTCACGAAGGGTATCATCGTCTGCTCTTACTTCTTTGTATGCAGGTGAGCAACAGTCTCTCTTGGTATTCTTGGTTTTGAAATTGCGCTCCTAGCTTTGCAATCACTATGGGTCCAGGTACGTCGCACCACCGTCTCGTATGGGGTGTTTTTTCAATTAATATTTTTACGCTAGTGTCTTGGACTTACCCGGCTGAAATATTTCCGATGCGTGTGCGTGCGAAGGCTGTATCGTTATCCACTGCGGCCAACTGGCTGTTCAACTTTGCGCTCGCATGGGCAGTCCCACCCGGTTTAAGCTCCATCGCATACAAGACGTACTTCATATTCGGTACCTTCAACTTTTCAGCCTTCATCCATATCTTGTTCTGCTTCCCCGAGACGGCAGGTCGGACACTGGAGGAGATCGAGGCCGTGTTCGAACAAGGCCATATCTTCACCGCGTGGAAGGTCAAGAAGGATGTGGGGAGAAGGACGCTTGAGGATGTCGTTTCTCATCACAAAGATGTAGTGGTTCGTACACTTTTGATTTAATGAGGCACCTCTTACTGATACTGAGCTATATATAGCACAATGATGCAGACGAGAAAATTGTTTAAGATTGTATGACCCCGTTTGATCACTTCATTTTTTGTTGAGTTTCGAGATCGAATACTGTGTATGCCCCTTGCTCATTACTTTATTGCTGTTCCTGCGTTTCATCATTTGTAGTATTCGAGCTCATGAAGTAAGCAACTTTCACATCGTCTCAGTAACTCGTGGAGGATACCAAGACGGCGAACCAATGCGTGCAGTGTCAACTTCCACCCTCCATCTCGGCTGCCCGCGTTCTCGAAACGGTCCAATAAAATTTGAACGCGGTCGAATAATCAGTCCCTCTTTGATTGTAGATGTGGTACATCGTGGAGATAGTGGGGATTTTAGCAGCTTCGGCCCTAGGGAGCAATTTGAGCTTGCCATCTTGCGGTAGAGCCGGCATACGATTGCGATGAAAAGTATGAGCACGGAAGAAGAGCCCGATAGCGACCATACCGATAGCTGTATCCTGCTCCGGGAAGTGCTGGAAGAGAAATTGAGCCTGTTGAACAAGCTGAGGGATCGTCGCGCGCATTATCTGCGCTTTCCTGTGCATCTGTTCGTTGGAAGCAAACATAGTTGTAGACTCGTATCCTTGGCAATCTTTCAGCTCCCAAAAAATTAGTGCGTTTCGAAACTGCGCGCTGCTATCTGGGATTGCCCTGGTCAAAATAACGAGGAAGTCGGGAACACGGAATTGAGCCTCCTCAGCTGTGAAAGGAATGTCATTTTCTTCTTCGTCTTCGCCAGCCTCCTCGCCGGCCTCCTCGTCGTCCTCTTTTTTCTCTGCTGACTCGTGCCCATTCTCTTCAAGATCGCTCTCGTTTACCTCAGGATGATGGCCTTTGTCCTCTCCCGCCTCTGCAGATTCGCATTCCTTCTCTTTGGACTCGGCCTCGCCTCCTTGCCCTTGTCTGTCCAGAGCTTGTTCTTTGGCCTCGGCGTCCAGGCCCTTAGCCTCAGGCTCCTCTTCGGACTCGTCTTTTCCACTTCCGACATCATCGCGGCGAGCGGGGGGAGCATTAGGGACACTATGAGTTGATTCTACTGGACTCAGATTAGACTGTGCTATATGTTGAAATGTTATTTCGGCGAGTTCACATTATGTGTGAAGTGAGCCTTACGGGTGACAATAGCCGACAAGCTACTCGTGGAGTTCGAATCCAGGCGAACTAGCGAGGTTGCCGTGCTCCGTGTCACCGGTGCTGCACAAACGCTCAAAAAAAAAAAACTGGCTAGGGGATAACAAACGTCTCACCTTTAAAAAGAGAATCCTCGCGAGCTTCGTCAATCGCATGGGCAACCGCGCGAGTTAAGAATCGGTAGAGATAGGGTTGAGGCCAGACAGATACTCGTCCACCATAGGCATGATTGCCACGCAAGGAGTTGAAGTTGAGGATCAGGTTGTACAGCTCGTACCACGCAGATTCGCCTTCACCTTGACGGGCTTCTTCTATTATCATGCGAGCATGCTCCATGTGATCTTTTAGCGATATAGAGACCTGATTGGGCCAATTTTCATGACGTGGGTGGATAGGCTTGTTTTTCGACATCGATGAGCTGAGAGGTTCTGATGAAGAGAAAGATAGCGGGGAAATCTCGTTGTACCAGGATGACCTTATAATTCAGAGTGGAACAAGATTGCCGTGATCCTATCCGATGAGCACATTGCACAAGGTGTGAAACTGTGAAGGACGATCAACCTTATGGTCATCGATATGGCACCGGAGTCCGGACATTGGGCCAAGATATTGAAGCAAACCAGCAACAAGCATGCTTGGCCACAGTGTACTTTCTGATATGGACAGCCATCGATGATCACAACAACATGGATGATTTCGGCAAGGAAAATGTTGGTAATATTGCTCAGCCCAAGCTAGCTAGAATTGATGAGTATCGAAGATCGATTTATGACTTCTCGCAGCGTACAACTAGGGGGGGAGTGGACAACAAGCGGCATCTACCGGTACAATGCCGAAATATTGCAGCGCCGACATATTTTGCTACATAAGCATGCGTGTTCTTTTTCATCGAGGGTGTACAGAGGATGAAAACTTGTGTATTCTGCAGACTATTTTACAGGAGATGATTATTCTAATTGAATGATCAGTAGACTTCTGAGCAGGATAAGAGACCAAAGAGTCAGTAGAGGGAAAAACTGAAGGTGGGCTCAAAAAGGCTCAGAAAGGGTGATATTCTGCTCAGTAACGGAGCTGTAAACGGAGTGGCGGAATGTCAAATATCCAGCTGTGTCCGCGCCGATCACTAGGCGAGCACAAGTTGGCTGTCTCTCAACGTTCAATCGACAACCATGCCTGCCGTCAACGTCAACACTGTTTCTCCAGAGCTAGAGCTCCCAGTTCCCTTCGCTCCTACTCAACGAAAGCTGACGAGCGAAGTGAGCCTAAGTACTCGTCAATTGTTTAAATCATTAGCTGACCAATTCTACAGGACTACCTCAGAGTGTTCCAATATACCCCATTCAACTATCTTCCCAAGCAGCTCATACCCTTACGAAGCCACTCCATGAGAGCGCCACTCATGCATTGTGGATGGACAATGGATCGACTGTGGAAATATGCAGAAGATAACGGCTTCGTGCACTCCACAGCTACCGAGACCTTTACGGAGGATGAATTAGCCAGTGCAGAGTTCCCTCCGATCTCTGAGAGTTTCGTTATTGACGAAGGACAGTGCATGAGCAATGCGCTGGAAGATATTGGTGCAAAACATGGCATCAAGGATATCCTGGAGTTTACAGAGATCGAGCGCGTCGTCAGGGATGGAAAGGGCGGCTTCATCTCACTCTATACAAATTATACCAGAAAGCGAGCTCCTCCCGCAGAATTTGTTGAGAAGCTGCGAGTCGCGTTGGGCGAAGAAGAAGGGCCAAAATGGTACTTGGATTCATTTCGGTGTTACTGGGAACCGAAGCCTGAACTATTATTCGGCGGGCAATCGTATGCATTCCTCTCGTCCTATATGCAGCCAAGGATCCTCATTTTTATCTAGCAGAAAGTCGGCGACTACACCCGCCCGCAGCAAGTTTGCAAAATCTCGCGCTCATTGATTGGCAGCGACATCGAGGCCTTGTGACTCGTGAGATGCGTCTTTCTGCTCTTGAGTATTGAATCCTTGCACTGCGATCGTTTGAATCATCGTATGAAGCCGCATAGTGTACTACAAACATAGGCTCCTTCACGATCTGATAGTTCTAGACGTTGGCGCCAGATTGACTTGCACTTTTGGTATGTCACGTTGGGAAAACTCCGGCTGGCGCCTCAGCTGAGCGATAAGTGTTATTCACCTTCATCCCGATCCAAGGATCGCCCAAACCATAATAACATCCAGATGCGCACGAGCAGGGCTGTAGATGATCAATGCCCGTGACGATCGTCAAAACCGAAACGATGCGGAGCTGTATAGTACAAATGTCTCGTAAGGTATCATATATCATTAGTTCCTGACGAACATAGCATTCCCCCTCCCATTCACGCCTCGATGAACTCTGTCGCCTCTTTCGTGTCCTGCCCTCCGAGCTTGGCTTCACCCCCAGCCCCGATGATATCCTGGTTCTTGCGATCCTCTTGCCGGATCCGTCGGTTGTACGCGAAGGATTTGCGGGCTGGGATGCCGGCCTGGAAGAGACCGTTGATCTCCTCAAGCGACAAGCCGGCCATCTCGGGAACGAAGAAGTAGATGAATGCGGCCGCGAGGAAGTTAGCGCCGAAGAATACGAAGCCCTGCAGGCAGTTATCATTTCACATCAGGCAAGGTGCTTTCGGAATCGAGGGACGACGCACGTATTTGGCTCCGATTTTGGCAGAAATTGGTGGGGAGAAGTAGGAGAGGAGGAAATTCCAAACCCACTGGCACAGGCCGTCAGTCAATGACGCATACATAGCGACATCCATCAAGAACTCACATTTGAGGCACTGACGAACGATAGCTGCTTAGCCCGCGTACGCAGAGGCGCGATCTCGCCAGCTGGGTTCAAGTCAGATCGCTGTACATTGCTCCGAAAACATGAGCCACATACTGTTGACCCATCCACCAGGCCCCCACGAACAACCGTAGGCGAGAACGAAGACACAGATGACGAACAACATTCCTCCGCCGGCACCCTTCTTCGCGACTTGAGTAGCATCGTTGTTTGGATAGAGAGCATACGATCCCTGATATGTATGGTCTGCTAAGCGAACCATCAAACGAAATGACAACATGACTTACAATCACAGCGTATAACATGTACGAGAGGCCTGGCAACAATGGACTCATGATCAGAATGAATGAACAAGACCTATCGTCATCCGTCACTTACCCATGACCAAAGCTCCTGTGATCATTGTCCGACGACGACCAAAGCTAGAATAGAAAAAATCTTCAGCTTTCTGTTTGATGCAGCCAAGGGAGGTTTTACCGGTCGAGGCAGTAGAGACCTGGCAGCGTTCCAATCATGTCCAACAGACCAAAGATGATTTGACTGATGTACGAGTCCAAACTTGGGTTAATGGATCCGAAGATAGATGTGCCATAGTACTGTGAGGGTATTCTGAATGGATAGTTCGGGGACGACAGAGAGATACTCACGAAGATGAAGTTTGCGCTGTATGGCATGAATTAAGGGTTCATGAGTACGATGAATACAGCGGCGAAGAGTGCAGTCATACCCAGTGAGCTGTTGAAAACTCTGTACGAAACATCTATAACAATAAGTCAATTGATTTGTCGCGTATGTTGTCACATTGAGCATGTGCACGTACCCAATTAACGTCCGCTGTCCAGTCTTTAGGTCGTTACGGAAATTGAAGCAATCCAGATAGCTTGCTCCGGAGTGCTTCTCTTCCTCAATCTTCTCCGTGATCTCGTCGATATACGCCTGCACTAAAGGATCGTCGATCGGGATGCCATGCATGCGCGCGATGACACTGCGTGCGTCCTCGGGGTTGCCCGTGAGAATAGACTGCCGAGGGGATTGAGGGAGGAACGGAACGCCGGCGCCTGAGAGCGCCGAATCAGTAAGACAGCTCAACAAGGGACAGTTGTGCAGCGTTCGTACAGAGAATGGCTCCCCAGATAATTTGAAGGCCAATGGGGATCTTGTAGCTAGCCGTGCCGTCGATGCGCTTACAGGCGAAGTCGAGAATGTAAGCGATGAGAATCCCGAAGGTGATCATGACTTGGTAGCACGATACGAAGGCTCCCCGGAGAGCTTTTGGGGAAACTGTTCGCAGCAGAGGGAATTCAGTACCAGCCAAATTCGACGATTCGCACAACCCACTTTCTCCCTGATAAAGAGGTACGAGAGCAGAAAGGGCCTGATGCACGAAACAGGTGAGCGAGTTCTAGGACGGGAGCAGTTGACGCTACTCACGCCCACACCCAAACCAGCAACAAATCTCCCAGCAATGAATGCACCCAGGTTGCCGGTAGGCGCAATTTGAACGATGACGCCAACGATGAAAATGACTGATACCATGAAGATTGCGCCTCGCCGTCCCAAGAAATCAGCAGTCGGCACACCAAGCAGAGCACCTGCGAAGCAACCAGCAGAGAGAAGGGCGACGACGACAGATTGACGACGGGAGGAAAGTGCGAAACCGGAGGCAGATGACGAGTCTATTGTGCCGTATGCCTGCTGGAAGTGAGGCATAATGAGACAACCCGAGATGTAGCTAGTGTGTGGGGATGATAAGTATCATTTTCTAATTAGATGAGCGAACTTTCAGGATCTCACCCAATATCGTAGCCGACTGAAAAAAAGTGCGATGAGATCGTGAGTTATTGGGGAAATGACTGCAAGTGATATTCTGACGCACAGATGTACCCTCCCATACTGACGAAGAGGTTGACCACAATAGCCATCAGCGAGACGGGCTCGCCACGAAATCTGAATTGACCCATGATGAGGATGAACTAGGGCGACCTCGTTGCAGACGTTCTTCTAACTGAACGGAGTGTGGGGAAGTGTGGGGCTGCCGAAGCGAAAGGGAGGCCTTTTGAGTGATGACGGGTCGCCCCATGGGGCATGCCAGGGCTCAATATTTAAGTCTCCATCACCTTCGCTCAGGAACACATGAAAGAGGCGATCGAGGCGCGGTTGGCGGTCCGTTGTGGGGTCTGATAGGAATTTACCAGCGAGCGTAGCACGGACATCGATGTCATATTACTGCCGACACGCACTTTTCTGGCCGCATGGCCTCACGCCGGGCCGAAACAGCGCTGGGAAGACATAAAAGGGCAGTAACACACCGAGAGGAGTCAAGGACAAGCAGGACATCGCCTCGAACGACTTAGCTGCGAACAATGACGTGCAGAAAGAAGTAGGAAAAAACGCCCGGAGGACGTGAATATTTGGCTTCCTGGGTTGATCCATCGAGAAATTCTGGTTGTATTGGGGAAGAGGGACTGTGCGACTATCGAGGTCACATTCACTTTGCCGGGCCGCCGCGGAGCGAGAAAGGTGTATGTTTGTTTCTGTTTACTCATGCTGGCCCTCCCGTGGCAGCCTCAATGGTGCTTGCTTATTGCTTTGTGACAATCCATTGTAATACGAAGCAACATCGTACGAGCGGCTCCATAGGTGCGCAGATCTCTGCTGATCTCCCAAAATGGCCAAAATCACATTCATCGCACCTCATCACTTGCAGTCATTTCTGAAAACTCTGGCCGAGTCTTTTTCTCTCGGAGCGATCCACAGAGTGCTGGACTATAGTCCCTGATCTGGGTTTTACTCGTCTGCACTAGAGTGTCCTAGATTGTCCCAGATATCAGCCATGATACATCGTATCCTTCGACCGTATCAGAACCTCCAGCTCGGCCTACCTGGTCCGCAGAACCTTTGACTCCACGGTTCAAGGAAGCGAAAGAACAGCGTGTTTCAGGCCTCAGAATGAGGCTGTTTTCTGCGGACCTGCCCGTATCATTTCTAGCTCACTTGATCTGTCCGTATCTGGAGTTCAGCTCTATCAAGCTCGAGTGCTGCAGGCGCTGGCTGGTACGTCCATGGAAGGCTTTACTAATAGGTCTTGTCCAGATAGCAGAATGGCCGCGCATTCCTTCGCTTATGGTCTACTCGGTCCGTAGAGAAAGTGTGGCAGAATACAATAGAACAAGATTTGACCAAACTGGCATCCTCTGTCGATCGATTCATCTGCAATAGAGGACAGGTACATATCCCTGGAGAATGCCCCACTTCTTTGCCTCCTCGCTTTCATGTGATATTTGCTATGATACCCACTCTCGAGGACCCTGACACGAGACTCATGTCCAGGTGAGCATAACACCGCCGCGTCGCACTGCCACTTACGCTTCTAGTCATTCGATGCGCGCGACGGACATGTTACTGACACGGACAAGCCCCTTCAGCTCGTCTTGTGGACTTATCGGATTTTCGCCCTTCGGTGGCGTAAATGGGACCCGAGGAGGGATCGATCGTTCTGCAACGTCGAACGCTGTCCAAAGTGAACTACGATTGCTAATCGACGACCACTGTTTTACCAATGCGGTGGTTACCGGTCTTCTGTTTATCGTTCCCATAATAGTACCTTGTCCATACAAACGATTGTCGTAGAGCCTTACAGTACAGTACTGGTGCACTCGCAGAGTCCGAGCCGGTCGCTGATTAAGCATCAACAGGCACGTGCGCAAATATTACGTGATATTTCGCATTGTGGGATCCGTGAGTGGCCGTTGTTGTTGGCCGATTATCGTCTTGAGCGTGGACAATACCGACGTTTCCCTCCTTTCTACCCTACTCGCATTTTTCCAGCATTCACAATACCAACCTAATCGTTTCCGTTAACTTCGCACTGCGTAGATGTCGCATCATCGCATCCTTGATTCTTCCCCTGTACCCTTGCCCCCGCGCGCGCCTTACAACCCTCGTAAGCGCAGTGCAGACACCGCGTCCCTCCTCACTCCCCCTCGGACGGTCAAAAAGCTCTCGCGATCCCGCGCCGGATCCGCCTTCGACTCAGCAGATGAGGAGGATCACGCCCTGCCCGTGCTGGCCGCCACACCCCGTGTCTTACCTGAACGCGACGGCGATAAGGAAGAGGTCAAGGCGGGGAATCCCACCATAGTGAAGCGGAGGAAGATCGACGATCTCGCCGCAGAGCTGAGCGATGAGAGGGACTTCGAGGACGCGTTCTGGATGGGGGGCCAATCGTCGTCCAGAAAACCAAAGCCGAGCGCCCCGTCGCGCACGAAAGCCAAGGCAGCCCCGGCGCGGCGCCTCTCTGGCGCAGCCGACAGGATCCAGTCTTCTCGTCCGCCGACCTCCCGACGCCTCTCGCAGTCGCGCTCACATCTGACGACTGCGTCGAGGGCGTGGGCCCTCCCGTCCCCGCCCCCGTCACGCGTGCGTCCCCCGGTCACCCCGCCTCGCAAAGCGGTCGCCACTAGGCAGCGCGTCGCGTCTCGGCAGACGATCCCCGTGCGCGATTCTCCCAACAACCCGTTCCTCGATGACTCGCCTGCGTCTATACCATCGTCTCCCATCGAGCCACGCACGCCAACGTCGCGTCTCGAGAGGCCGACTTTGACCTACGTTCAGTGCGTATTTTCCGCACGTGTGTGGCCCAGCAGTGGCATCGATGACCCACTCACTTAATGCTCTTTTGTCTTGTAGCCGTGGCAAGAAACAAGAGTTCATGAATCCACACTTTAACGCACCCATCGACCCTCGCACCCTCCTTCCGGTGGACCACCCCGAATTCATTCCGCCTGAGAACTGTGCCCCTCGCCGGCTCTTCACCAGCGGTCTCTCTAAATCCAAATCCAAGGCACAGAGGCGCACAACGACCCCCCAAACGCCGCCGAAACCCTCCCGCCGCGCTCTGAGTCCTGATCCTTGGGACTCTGACGACGACGAGTTGCCGATGCCGGCGCTGCCGCCGAAGACACTTGCGACCGAGTTTGAGAAGGCAGGCACGGCCGAGAAGGATAATGACGAACTGCCCGCATTGCCGACTAAGGCCCTCGATATAGGATTCGAGAGGCTCGTGCGACCCAAGAGGGAGAAAGCCGCGGACGTGAAGAAGGGCCGCGCAATCAAGGTCCTCCCCACACGCGGTCGAGCTCCAGTGGCTCCTCATGGTCCAGCGGGCGGCCCTTCATCTCCGCGCTAAGCTCGTAGCGCTCACAGGTTCATGTTTTGGGTCTTTACCCTCGATTTGTATTCCATGTTTCATCTAAGCTTTGTTCATGTTAATATTCGTTGATTTATCCGTGCTACTTCATCTTTTCTTCTGCTCCCGTGCGTTACCTCCTCCATACACTGTTTACTCCTGCGATACCTTCTCCCTCATCCTCATGCACCGCTGTTTATCACTTCTCGTTTTCCGCGTTTTTATTACGTGCCAAATATCGTCCAGTCGATGTGTTGTCGCGCCTGTTCTTCCCGTGCCTTGATTTGCAGATTTGCTTGCTCCTTTTTGTGTCCACGAATCGAACGGCGTTAGGCCGTTCGTGTGTATGTACTTGGGATGCTATGCTCATGAAATACTATAAGTTTTGTTGAATGCTTTTGGGCCAACCTTGTCCAAATAGAGGAAGCCGAAGTCGCCGCTTGGAGCGTGCACGTTCACCGTCGTACCACTAGGCGCGCCCTTGTATAAGTTTATACAAAGCTTCGCAGAGTGCTGCGTGGGGAGTGCAACGCGGTATGCGACTGTGCTTATCCTACTAACAATACATCGCGTTCCGTAAGATCCGTGGTGCTGATGGACGATGAGCTCACTGAAAACGTGTTGTGCACGATGCTGGAGGCCACAACAAGCCATCTGACTGCCTCTGCAAGCCAACGTTTCGTCACAGCCTGCTACTCTAGACCCCCACAGATCTTGCCTGCAGATTCCAGTCCTTCTTCGTCTCCAGCCTCGTTCCCGCCCGCTTATCCGACGCTTCCGCCGCGCTTCACAACTTCACATCCGCCTCTCTCCTCCTCCCCATTGTCTCTCGCTCTCCGCGTGCCCTTTACCCTCCAAGAACAAGAACGATCCTACGACCGTCACGACCACCACCGACACTCATTCTAACCCACAGCAGCCGACATGCCTGTACCTACGTATACGACCACGACAAGCGATGCGTTCGCTGTGCTGGGCGTTGCCCCCGATGCGTCCGAAAGCGAGGTCAAGCTCGCGTACAAGAAGATGGTGAGCGTCGCTGCGCGGCGTGTGGGCGAGTCGCTGGCTGAACACGAAACAGGCGCTCAAATGGCATCCCGATCGGCACCTCGACGACAAGGACGATGCTACGCAGCGCTTCATCGAGGTGCGTGTCCTCTCTCCTCCCCGATCTCGTCTTCGCCTTCGCCGACGCACGTCCCCTTGCCCCGAAGATCCACGATGCGTACAGGATGCTCACGGAGCCCAAACACCCTCCGTCACCGCCCAAGAAAGCATCGAACCCGAAACATTCGAAGAAGTCCGCGGAGGATCCGCCTCCCAGACCAAAGTCTCGCAACAAGAAGAAGGCTGACAGGAAGAAGGGCTGGAAGAAATCGCCGGGCCCATCGCATGCTACGATGCCAGAGGAGGCGCCTGCGGAGAATTCACCGGGAGCACACTCTGCGACGATGCCAGAGTCCAAGGATGTCTCTCAGCAGCCCACCACGGCGACCGCGTCTGCATCGACGGATGCTCTGCCGAGAAAATCTCCAGGTCCCAGGTTCGAGCCGATGCCGGAGGATTCGCCCGAATCCAGCTCAAACAATCCTCTTCTCGATGGCGTACGTCCGAAACCATCGCCACGACCGCGATTCTCGACAGCGCCGGAGGATGCTCAGACAACAAAGAAGTCGCCGGGCCCTCGACAATCCACCCTGCCTGACCATGGGCCATCCGCGAAGTCTCCTGGGCCCCGACAATCGGCGCTGCCGGACGACCGACGTACCAGGAAATCTCCTGGTCCTCGGCACTCTACCTTGCCTGACCACGGTCCCGCCAAGAAGTCTCCTGGCCCGCGACAGTCCACTCTGCCAGACGATCGCCGCCGCGCTAAATCCCCTGGGCCTCGACGGTCTACTCTGCCAGATGATCGACGTCACACGAGATCTCCGGGGCCCCGACAATCAACTCTACACGACCACGGGCCTACCAAGGCGCCTCCTGGGCCAAAACTGTCTACACTACCTGACGATCGACGCACGACGAAATCTCCTGGGCCGAGGCATGCGCCTATGGCGAACGCCAAACATAACTCCTCATCAAAGGCGTCGCCAGGACCTCGATATGCCGCCATGCCAGGTGAAACTCGCTCGAAGGCATCCCCAGCACCGCGATTCGCCGCTATGGCGGAGGACCGCACCTCCAAAAAGTCTCCGGGGCCTCGAAATGCCGCTATGCCCAACGACGCACCCAGCAAGAAATCGCCAGGACCGCGCTTCGCTGCGATGCCAGACGATCATCGTTCCTCCAAGAAGTCACCGGGGCCTCGATACGCGACCGTGCCCAACATCGCATCGAGCAGGAAGTCGCCTGGGCCTCGTTTCTCGACTATGCCTGACGAGTACCTGCCTGCAGGCAGAAAGTCCTCTGGTCCACGCTTCGCTTCTGAGTCTGAAGAACACTTGGCCTCGGGCAGGAAGTCTCCTGGTCCTCACTTCGCTTCCACGCCCTCTCATCGCCCAAACAAGCTTCGTAAATCTCCAAGCCCACGCAATGCGACGCTTCCCGATGAGCACCTCTATCCCCCGGGTTTATCACAGCCAGACAATAATGGTTATCACCATGCGGCTCAGCCCTCATCTCGCCCACCGTCTAAGCCTGCACATTCTCACACGAATGACTATGCGAAGGGCTCGTCAAGGTCAGACCCTGGTCATAACTTCAGCTTTGGATTCAACTTCATTCGCAGTCAGTAAGTTTCCGTTTCACTATAGCTCGTGTGACGCCCATTTCTTACTTCATTCGCACAGTAGTAAGAATGCGACCTCAAATGGTCGAGAGTCGTCTTTCTCAGACTACGTCCACGTCGACCTCTCCGATATTCCTCTGAGTCCTACTCCGAAGCCCGTGCCGCCATATCACTTCTCAACCGCACTACCTCACTCTCACAGCTATCGCCCACCCCCTTCCTCCCATCATCGTGATCGCCCCCACGATGAACACGATCGTTATCCCGACCATCGACGCACGCGAAGTGCCTATTCACCTGGCGATAGGCACACTAAGGAATGGGTCTTCACGCTCGACTGCACCCTTGAAGAGCTCTACTGCGGAACAAAACAGCGCTATCGCATTTCACAACCTTACCCTGACAAGCGTGCGACCGACACCGTCGACATCAACATCCCGCCCGGCACCCTGCCGGGCACGCGTGTCCCCATCTCCCTCCCTTCGCAGCGCCTTACGTTCGTAGTCAACGAGCTTCCGCACCCGCACTTCATCCGCGTGCGGTCACACTCGCCGGCACACTCGTACGACTTCCACGAGCCGCCGGTAACGACGCTCAGCGAAACCCCGAATACCTCGCCTCATCTCGCGATGTGCGTCGAGATGCCGTATTCGTTCCTGGAAGACTCTTATCCGGTCGTCCGCGGTCCGCCGGGCTCCATCAGCTTCGCGGGGCCTAGTGGAGCCATGCTGCGCGTTATGCTCCCGCGGACGCTGGTAGAGGCCAGCGACGGAACATGCGTGAAAGGGCAGGGGATGCCTATCTACGACAGCAATGCACGTAGAGTGGTTGGATACGGAGATTTGTTTATTAGGTGTGTTGCTTTCACAGGCGTCCCTTCGAGACGGCGTTGTTGACGAATGACCCTAGGTGGGACCTCTTCGTTCCTGGGAGTGAAAGGCGCGAGTCAAAGTGGACATCGATCAAGAAGGCGATGCAATTCTCTTTCTGAATGCGGCATATCGACGGAGGGTCGACTCCGACGCGCAAGCATATTTTAGGTGATATATTGTTTGCATCATTCTTCGTGGTTTAGGGATCCCCAGGACGCTTCAATTGTACCTTTCTGTCTAAGGAATTTAGTGCATGATATGTATCTAATTTCTTGTCTTTTTCTGCTGATTCTGACCGAAGCTGGATTACCAAAATGTCCATATAATGTTCCTCGTCTTCGGCGTGTATATTCATTCGCATACGTACTACTCTCGACGCACCGCTTCGCTCGTTCACATCGCCAGACTTGTAACAGCACTGTTCTCAATATGATATCGGGGTTTCACCGCTTTTGGTCTTTCTTTGTCGTGAATACTGTATGAAAGCACCTGCCATTTTAATACGAGATGTTGCGACAAGGGGCATCTACGTTCAGTGGGGCGGGAGACACATCAGTGCCACCTGAACTCAGCAGCCTGATTGCTTACCTTCTTGCCCTCTGTATAATTACGGAATTGTTTCCCATGAAAGTGTTTGATGGTGAATTCGCCTCGCAGCTATGTACTACTACACTGCGAACAAACGCAGCATCGGTAACATTGACAGACAAGGCTGCGTGACATCAAATCCATATTACATCCAGCTGTCTACCATGTTCGTCCTATCCCAGACAACAATGGCCACCTCCGGATGTCTTTGCTCTTTGTCGCCAGAAGTTGTCTCATAACCGAGTTCGTCCCGAAAGACAACTCCGCAGCTCGGTAGTCGCATTTTGTCCCATAACTGTGCGGCGACACGGCGGCGCTACTGGCATTTGGGAGGACAAGGTGATTATAGATGGGAATGGACCACGAGAGTCAGTCGTAGCCCGCTCATCGAAGCTCAACAGGGCCAGGACAGGCCAAGAATAAACAAAGCTCGAAAACCTCACACTCAATGCAGAAGCCAAATGAAGGAATGTAAATTTACCAGGGTGATAATCGAGAGGAGAATTGAATTGACCGGGAGGGAGACACAACGCACCTCCTTTCCCAACCTCCTGACGGTAGCATACCGTGCACCCACAGTTTCCATATCGAAACCGACCGATGTCCCATCGCTTCTATCGTTGTCAATGTCTATGTCTGTCGGGTGTAGAGGCACGTCCGAAGTCGGCGGTGATGGGAGTGAAGCCATGCGTGTAGTGTGATATGCAGCCTTCCCTCTCGTCGTTCTATTGCCGCTATGCGGCGTTGTCGATGCAACAGCAGTGCGTGGTGGCGGACGGTATAAGTGTACATTTCTCTTGGACGTGCCTTCACCACTGCTTTCACTTGGCTTTGCGTCTGAATTTAGACGCCGGGAGCCTACCTCTCCGCTCCCGCTAGCGAGCAAGAGCGGGATACGAAATTTCCCAGATTTCCTCACCATTTCCTTTCCGGTCGCCGGCAACTTCTGGCGACGTTTGGGGAATAATGTGGACCATTCTTCATCAGGGGATTTTTCGAAAACAGGGTGTCTATATGCGTCCGTGGGGGTGCGATATCGAACGCGCGAAGGCGGTGAACGCGAAGGGGCCGCAGACGAGCGTCGTCGTTTCGTGACAGACGGTCGATTGTTCTGGATTGGGCCGTGCGGTGATGAGGTTGGAGGAGATGGCGGAGGCTGAACGATATGATGAATGACGGTCGGTGTGCTCGCTCTAGGCGCCTCATGTTCATATCGGATGTTTTCAGCACCGTCTTCGAAGACGGAGCCCGAGTGGTTAACGAACGGCACTCTACGCTCCGACAAATCTGGATACATGCTTGGCCTGTTCGTCTCAAGAGATTCCTGATAAACTGGATGCGTATACGATTGAAGACGGGGATCTAGGTCTGAGAGTGTATTCGGTGTCATTGAACTCGTCTTATAATCCAGTTCCCGATACAGCTTACCTTCTTGAGCACCAACTTCGTTTGCTTGTACGAAGTCTAATCTAGATCTCGGTCCTGCCACTTGAGGGTGGAGAGTGGGCGGAGTGGGCATCTGTGTTCTGTATACGGAGCTAGGATTCGACGCAAAGGGCCAGCGTTCGGAGGGTGGACTAGGCGGCGAAGAAAAGGATACAACCGGTGCAGGGTACGAACGCTTGGACTGAAATTTGCGTTCAGGAGAAGATGAAGAAACAAATTCGGAATTATTCGTGATAATATCCGAGTACGCTAGCTTCGTTCGAGGTTCAAGGGCGATGGAATTGCTTGCAGAGACTGGTTTGATGTCCACCAAAGGCAACGCTTCATCCATTAGGCGACGAGTGTTGTGGGCGCCAAAGTCAGATGAGCTAAAAATGCGAGAGAGGGGATCCGAAGTTGCTACGGGTAATGCAGCATGAGTAACTGAGACAGGATCGAGAGTCAGTTGGTTATCAGCAGTATTAGTGGGTATATGCGTGGTATGGCGCGTGAAGTAAGTTGGTTGAGCAGGTTCACAAGTTCTCGGAGCGTTTGAGTTTTCGTTGGGCCAGATACCCGAGGACAATGTATCAAGAGCGGCAGGATCGTCTAAGATAGGACAAGGTGCGAGTTTCTCGGCGACGGGGTTGATGTCCACTTGCAAGTCAGTGGAGAGCTTGGAAGAAGAGACACTAGGGCGAGTAACCACAGGAGACAAGTGCGTAAAGTGTGGGCGTATGCGATGTTGTTTCAAAGAGGAAGGGATGTTAGGAAGAGGAAGTCCGGGTTTGAGACCGTCCGCTTTAGTGTCCTTCGCACCTTCCGCTTGCTTTCTCAGAAAGTCCACAATTAAGCCCTTTGGCTTCTTCAGTTTCTTCTCCATCATCAGGGAGCCTGTCATGATGCCTATTTCCATATCTGCTTTCGGTCTCGATGCAGCATTGATCTTCGCGATAGACCAAGGGTTGGGTTTGTACTGCGCTTCGTCGTTGCGGGAGGTCAAGTCGATATCCTTGAGAAGTTGAGCATCCGTCGACAGCGATGGAGGTGACGAAGCTGGCGAAGGGGATGAAGAAGAGCAAAAGTTGTCATAGCTTCTGAGATCAAATGACCATCCACCGTCGGTAGACGACGCGGCCATTGTCGTTATTAAAGTGTAGGGTGGCGTCGAGCTCCAAGCTGTACGACGCGCCGCGGCCGATCCGCGAGTCCACGTGACTAGATCTCCGGTTACACCGTCTTCGGAGTTGGAGGCGTTTGCACCAGCGTGACACAGTCAGGAGAAAAGCGATAGAAAGTGTTCAACGGGTAGCTATCATACATGATTTTATGACCTGGGAATTCCGCTATCAAGAACCCTATCCACAACACAGCCTAACGCAATGCCAATGAAGAACCCATATCGACGAGCAACCAACGCCACCATGCTTCACGCTCTGATTGAAGTCTTTGGAAAAGCGTTAAGGGGTATGATTAGAGAGGTATACTGTACGAGATTAACAAATGCACTGTAGAGGCGGCCACGATCGATTAGTCGTCGTGTCGCACGCATCCCCCGGGTAGGAGAAAGGGGTATCTTGCGGGGTGTTGAAGGAGGTACAATGGTAGACCAATCCCGGTCTTCGATCTACATAAATGAACTTTCGATTGAGCAAAAGTGAGAAGGGCCATGATGACGACAACGCACGGATCTGGTTGAGCCCACGCCAACAGATCCTTATACTAATTTCGACAATGAGCGGCTGTGAATACAAGCAGAGAGATGGATGTGGAACTCACGGAGAATGCCTAGAAAACTGGCCTGAAAAGAAATTACTAGCCGCATAACGCAATTGGCTACGTACCTCTGGCAGCATGCCAAAGACATCCTTTCCCTCGCATATTCTCTGTTGTATGTTTGACGGATCTACTAAAGACTCATCCCCCCCCACACGATCATAGTGGGAGAATCCTTCCACCACAATCAAACCTGTCAGACCACATGTGGTGTCGAGCTGAAGCCTCTGACCTTTCATCTTCTGAATGAATTCGTCCAAGTGTCGGAAGCAGAACGTGCAGTGCCAGCCTGAATCGGCTAAAGCAACGTCACTGCTCTGTGAATGTCTGTAATATGCTGTAGGCTCTTCCCAAAGCTGGACCGAAGGACGCCAGCCTGTAGGCTTCCGTGAGGCTCACACGTGGAAAGAAAATAAGAACAACACAACCGGAGTCAGACTCACTAGTTCTCCCAACTGGCCACTCGAACGAATAGGAATAACTTCGCATTTGCAAGTGAATGGGATTAGGAGCCTGACATCGCTTCAGCAGTTGCAGGGTATGTCGGCTTGGTATCTCATCGACATCTGCGGATATGACGAGCGGAGGGATTCTCATTTGCGCGCTGGAGTATGTGTCGCGAATTAAACGTGTCATAGTATTTCTGTGATCTGCCTCAATAGTCCATGCATCGTCACCTGGCTTGCCACCTGCAAAGAGCTCATATACTATCTTGTGCTCAAATGCGGCGAACTTGTGTCGATTCAATGCGAACGAGAGAGGTTTCGGAAGCCCGGAGAATGTTCCTGAAGAAGTCGGTTGGAAGTGACTGGAGGATGTGAGCAATATTGACGCACTGTTACTCTCAACGATGAAGAACTTGTCGACAACCGAGTCGAGTTCGTTCATCCTGATTTCTAGCAAGTCCATCTCGCTCGATACAATGACTGCATCCCACATCTCCGGTTGCTGCATTCTCGATGTCCATCCATGTAGCTTGCAGGCATGCTCATCGATCGCAAGGCCTTCAGTGTAATAGTGTGGTAAGATCGTAGCTGGGCCATCCGGTTTGTCCCACAGTGGACGCGATGCATACGACAGGGCATGGTATAACCGAAAGCTATCGATATACAGGACGTCAGCGAGCGTCAATGAGCTGACCATAGAGAGCGCTGACCGGTAGTCCAACGAAACAAGAAGAAGAATCAATACGAGGATCGTTACAGTCGCAATAACCAGTCGGCGCGACCGAAACATGAGCTTGTCAGAAAGGCTAGAGTGAACCTACGCGTCTCAAAGCAAAAGAAAAGAGTGTGATGGATTTGATAGATGTAATAGAAAACCAGTGTATTGAACGCGCATGCCCAAGCGCCCAGTCCATTTCGGTTCTGACATTGCTGTCCTGTCACAGTGTCGGTCTAAACCGATTATGGTCACGGCGAGGGGTTGTTTGAGTTTGTTTGGTCCCCTTTGTTCCCCGCTCACTATCTCGCATTTACTAGGATGGCGACAGGCTGTAACAGCAACGTCGTGGTACGTGGCTGCCTAATACTGCATCGATTGGAGACTGAATGAATAATCACGGTGGTCAGATTGATATTTGACTAAATGGGCGTATCGTGCCGAGTGCTGTGACCCCCGTACACCAAAAGGGAATCCTGAGCTGCAGGATTACGCGTTTGCACCTACGTGCATCTTTGCGGCGCCTCGATTTGAACTTTGGTCTTCGCACAACTTAACACCGCTTCGAACTTTGGTCTTCGTACAACTTAACACCGCTTCATGCATATTTGGGATGGAGGTTATGTGGTCCATGGCATGCAGATACTTTGATGTTCAGGTATCATGTTCTTCCAAATTGTGTTCGATGTCCCCTTCATCGTCTTTCTTACTTATCAAGGATCTCGACTAGATATATTTGGTCATCGTAAATGTTTATGATCTCCTACCAGGTTTTATCTCCGACAGAGGTCGGCGCTAAGTAAGTGCCTCTCTACGCACGGACATAGCGGCATTGTAGAAGGACCAGGTACATCGGTTTCTCCTCACCAGTTGACCGAGTTTGTACGTCTATTTTGAATTGATGTACCCCTGTTCTCTCAGATCTCGGAGAGACGGAGTTGTAACAGCCTGATGTTGAACATTTCGTTGACCATATCATGTCAGCAGCTTCGAAGAAGGTCCCTATCTGTTATTCTTGTGCATCACCACTGTGTTACCACCGTCCTCGACCACTCGGATAGACACGGCTTGTGGTTCTCGAACTCCTGGAGCTCGCGCCGTGTACCAATCTCATAACATCGAAGAAAAGCAATGTACGTTTCACGCGCAGCTCTATCTGTTGTATAAAAGAGGTGGAATCTACTCTTGGTTCCACCACAGTCAACATGGTTGTCGAATACGCCTCTGTGACCATGGCCTCTTTTGCGCTTGTCTCAATAGTCACGTTGGTGGTAATTCTGTCTCATTTCAGACGTAGATTTCCTAAGGACATTCAAGGTCCTCCGTCCCCGTCGTTTCTGTTTGGTACGCCGATGGGTTTCCTGGATAGAATCTGTCTTTCATTACCGTGATGAATTCATGAATCATTTTAGGTCACGAGAAGGATATACACTACCAGAACGAGGTCGGCGACCTGGACTTCCAATGGATGCGCCAGTATGGGACTGCTTGGCGTGTAGGCGGTTGCTTGGGGGCAGGTTATGTTGATCGCCTTTCACCGTGTCATTGCTCACGGTCGACAATCATTCAGGAGGATGTGCTTATGTTGGCCGATCCTAAGGGTCTCCAACACATTCTGCAAGGCTCCGCTTACAACTACCCGAAAAGTGGTGAGGACAGGCAGTTCTTGAGGCTTATAACTGGAGATGGCCTCGCGTGGGTACATGGTAACGTATCGATCTAATCTTCGCTTTCCCCCGTCCGTTATTGACCAAGCCATCATCCCACCGCTATTAGGCGAAACTCATCGTCGGCAGAGGAAGATCATGAACCCTGCGTTCACGGCCCCACAACTGAGAGCTTTCCTTCCCCTCTTCCACAAGAGAGCTGCAAAGGTGACTGTTCGTGATTCACCTGCTTTCATAGCATTCTGACACAGGTTATAGATGATACAGAGACTGAAAGACGAGGTCACGAACACTGCGGGGGGGGGGGGGGGGGGGGGGGGGGCACCAGTTATCGACCTTCTCGGCTGGCTCACACGCATGACTCTGGACGTGATCGGAGAAGGTACTGTTGTGTTTTCCTTGATATACGGTTTCCATTTGACATAAATACCGTATAGCTGGCTTCGGCTACGAATTCGGGACCCTTGACGACAAGGAGGATGACTTTTCTAAAAACTGGACAGGCGTCGTGTGCGTATCGCCTAGCGGCATCGCGCTTCGTTGATCCGCTGACCGGACATGGCGTATTTTCAGCGTCGAATCGTCGTTGTATCCGTCATCTCTGGACCTCATTGCCAAGTCGTTCTTCAGCTACATTCCGGTGAATATCCTGTATTATACGCGATACCTCCCCCTGCGCGAGTATCGCAGGACCCGCGACTGGCTGGACTACACGAGGTCAATGGCGCGCGACATCATCCGCAAGAGCGAGGCTCAAGGAGATGGGAAGGACGTGATGAGCGTGCTCATACGAGCAAACGCGTCGGAGAACCCTAAGACTAGACTCTCGCGGCCTGAGGTTTTGGATCAGATATCGTGAGCGCTTGATTTGTCTGAGACAAAGCGCGGTCCTTGACATTTCGTGTTCTTGTAGGACGCTTATTTTGGCTGGCACCGACACAACTGCGCTCACAGCGTCTTGGGTGCTTTGGGAGCTCGCCAAAGACCCTGCTTTTCAAGACCAGGTCCGAGAGGAGATCAAGGCGGCCCGGGCACAGGTAACCGCGCGCGGTGACGCAGATTTCACGATTGCAGATCTCGATAGCTTGACTCTGCTGCAGGCTGCGCTAAAGGTACGTTTCAAACTGACCTCTATGAAATCCTCAACCAAGACGTATCCGGGACATGCTATAGGAAGGAATGCGTCTGCACCCTATCGGATGGCATTTCAGTCGGTTGGCTGGCAAGGACGATGTCATCCCACTCCTCCATCCTATCACGACTAAGTCGGGAGAGCAGATCTCTTCGATTCCTGTGAGGAAAGGGACCAAGGTAAAGATGTCCTTCTGTGCATACAATAGGTGAGTTGGCAGGATAGCGGGGCGTGCGCATCAAACTCAGTCTATACTAGGCTGCCTATCGTTTGGGGAGAGGACGCTGACCGGTGGAACCCGATGCGCTGGGTGAACATTGACACGTCGAAGCAAACTACTGTTGGCGTGTATGCGAACCTGTAAGTTCTTGTTATTCAACCTTCTCGGGTCACCTCATGATTGAGCCCTTTTTCAGACTAAACTTCTGTGAGTCTAGACATACGAAGACTTGTTTTCTCCCCAAGCTGACGAGCGTGTCTTAGCCGCCGGCGTCCGCGGTTGCATCGGGTAAGACGCCCCCAGCTCGATTCGCATTACTTTCTAATCCATATCCTTTTCCGCTATTTGCAATCTCTGAAGGTGGAAATTCTCGTATGTTGACCAAAGTCCATCAAAATCTTATCTCCGCTGACTCTACGTCTTGTCGGTTGCAGCGTCATCGAGCTGCAGTCAATTCTGATGAACCTCTTGGAAAGTTTCGAGCTCACCATGCCGCCAGACTCGGACAATAACCCCATTCTGAGGAAGCCCGCCCAGGGCATGGCCCCGATCATCGAAGGACACAGTGGACCCGCGTTGGGCTTGAAGATCAAAATACTGGCGTGATTTACAGATGGACATTAACGAACTGTTGGGAGTTTACCGATTGCAATTGACTATCATGAATTTTTCTTACCACTCTGTTTGTACTTCATCTACCGTTTATGCGCTTTCACGAGTCTATGACCGCCATCCAATTCGACTGTTGTTGAGGTATACTTGTTATACACTGACCTGAAGCGGATAAGGAGTGATTCGATATGACGGCGCTGAATTATAGCGTGGAAGATGTACAGAACGCAGGCTCATACCGTTGATAAGACCGGACGCGTGGAAAAGGGACCGCGGGCCCTTGAAGGCGTCGCTCGCCGTCCTTCGTAGATGTAATTGTGTATATATAGCCCTAGCAAGGCATATCTCAGTCAGACGTAGGGGAGCAGAAACAACTTAACTGCTTTTTCGTAAGACCTCGGTGTAGACATCCGCGGGCATCTTTGTGCATAGGCCTTGTCATGGATGTCGGATGCGGGCATGAGAGATGGACGGGCTTGGGCAGCGGTTGGGGGATGATGGGCATTGAACGGATGTAGACGAACAGAAAGATAGAACGGACGAGTGTCTGGAAACAAGAAAGATGTCGCAGAGTCGCAGACCAACTTTGGAGTCAATAGCAAGTTCTCTTCTTACGATTGCAGTCCGGAGCCATGCGCTCATCATAGTGAAATAGGTCCTATGAGAGAGCTTTTGTTATAAGTGCGACGTCGGGTAGGTTAGTCGCACAACCTAGAATATGTTGCTGTGCGCATTTGAGAAATCTTGGACTGGCATCAGTCTGAGAGAGGGGATTATCGTCGGTATGGCGGGACTAGCTAGTAGTGGCCCTTCGAGCCGAGTTGGAATCCCACAAACGATGCCGATGGCAATAGCCGAAGCAGCCGGGGCGGGCCGGAAGGGGAATTGGGAGAACGACGTCGGCGACAGTGAGAACGACGACACTCAATTGGTGCGTCGCAGCGACCCAGCATTGCCCGTTGCTGCCCGGAACAAACGCAGCACACCCATCGATCCCGTATATATACTCTGCTCTCTCCAGTGCACTCTTCACCCCTACCACCATGTCTGCAAAGCTCGCATCTGGTGCGATCTTCCCCGATCTCGCACACGGCGTCGACTGACATCCTTCAGACTACGCTGCCTGGAAGAAGCTCCAGCAGCTGTACGACACAGAGAAGGATCAGCTTGTCCTCAAGGACCTCTTCGCTGCCGACCCCGCCCGCTTCTCCAGCTTCTCCAAGGAATACACCGCCGCCTCTGACCCCACCAACACCTTCCTCCTCGACTATTCCAAGAACCTGATCACCCAGCCTGTCCTCGCAACCCTCCTCGATCTCGTCCGCGAGGCCGGCGTTGAGCAGGTCCGTGACAAGATGTTCGCCGGCGAGCACATCAACACCAGTGAGGACCGCGCCGTCCTCCACGTCGCCCTCCGCAGCTTCGGCTCCCTAAACACGACTGAGGCTGGTGTTGCCGAGGTCGCGCCCGTCTTGAAGCACATCAAGGAGTTCACCGACGCCGTCCGTAGCGGCGCTTGGAAGGGCTACACGGGCAAGACAATTACCACCATCGTCAACATCGGCATCGGTGGATCCGATCTTGGCCCCGTCATGGTCACCGAAGCCCTGCGCCACTACGCCAAGCGCGACCTCACAGCTCACTTTGTCTCTAACATTGACGGCACCCACCTTGCGGAGACCCTCCGCGCGTGCGACCCCGAGCGTACACTCTTCATCATCGCCAGCAAGACCTTCACTACCCAGGAGACTATCACGAACGCGGAGAGTGCCCGCGCCTGGTTCCTCGATGCCGTCGGCGGACCCAGCGCCGCCACTCACGTCGCGAAGCACTTCGTCGCCCTCAGCACGAACGAGAAGGCTGTCACCGCGTTCGGCATCGCAAAGGAGAACATGTTCGGCTTCTGGGACTGGGTTGGCGGCCGCTACAGCCTCTGGAGCGCAATTGGCCTCTCGATCGCGCTTGTGATCGGATACGAGCACTTTGAGGCTCTCCTTCGTGGCGCGCACGACATGGACGCTCACTTCCGCACCGCCCCTCTCAAGGAAAACCTTCCCGTGCTCCTCGCCGTCATCGGGATCTGGTACAACGACTTCTACGGTGCGCGCGCTCTGGAATTTCCTTTCTTTTCTCATAGCTGAACCCTGCGTGTGTTTGTAGGCGCCCAGACGCACGCGCTGCTCCCGTACGATCAGTACATGCACAAGTTCGCGGACTACTTCCAGCAGGGCGACATGGAGTCTAACGGCAAGTTCACTACTAAAGGTGGTAAGCGTGTCGACTATCAGACCGGCGTACGTCTCTGCACTCTCTATGCGCCTTCCCCTGTCAAGACTGACTCTACTGGGCGTGCCGCAGCCAATTATCTGGGGCGCGGCCGGCACAAACGGACAGCACTCGTTCTACCAGCTGCTGCACCAGGGTACGAAGCTCATCCCGACGGACTTCCTTGCCCCTGCGACGTCGCACAATCCACTCCGTGGCTCCCTGCACCACCGCATCCTGCTCAGCAACTACTTCGCGCAGCCCGAGGCGCTCGCGTTCGGCAAGACCGAGGAGCAGGTCCGCCAGGTGCGCCTCCCCTTCTGTTTCCTCTTCGAAGGGTTTCGTGCGCCTTTTCGGCGGCGCTGATGTTCGCTAAATGCCATAGGAGGTGGGCCCGGGAGCGAGCGAAGCGCTCGTGAAAAGCAAGGTTTTCGAGGGCAACAGGCCGAGCAACAGCATCCTCTTCCCGCTGCTCACGCCCGCGACCCTCGGCTCACTCATCGCGCTCTACGAGCACAAGATTTTCACGCAGGGCGTCATCTGGGGGATCAACTCGTTCGGTGCGTGCTTCTTTGGGTCAGCGGGTGCATATATGCGCGTTTGCTGAATTGGTGCAACAGACCAGATGGGCGTCGAGCTCGGCAAGGTTCTCGCGAAGAACATCTTGGCGCAGCTGGAGAAGCCTGCGGACGTCAAGGGCCACGACAGCTCGGTGCGTCATTTTCTCTGCGGCATTGCATCCGCTGTTGGAGCTCCCTGTCTGCTGTGAACTGACGTTATCGTGTGTAGACCACTGGCCTCATCCACTATTACCAGAAGCACCGCAAAGAGTGAGCGCGAGGCGGAAAATGAAAGGAAGATGCCGTTTTCGTAGACGAGAGATGAATGCAATGAACAAGGAAGGAAGAGATGTAGCACCGCCGTCTGAACTCAAAATTGTGGCTGCATAGTTGTACAATGGCGCCTCTATAGAGTACGTACCCGTGTACGGACATGTATGTATCGATGTTTTTGACTCACTGACTCATTGACTGAAATGAGTCGCCATTTCGGGAGAGCTTCACTTATCCCGCAACTTATAACTGATCGAAAATATGGACAAATAGCTTGTACCGCTTAATAGGGCAAATGCCACCTCGTTCAACACCGTGTTGTAGATGACCACCGTGAACGCAGATTCTGAAGCTATGCATATTTCAGACGTCGACTCGCCCCCGAACTCCATTCAACCTCCCAAACTCCTCCCCGCCGAGTTGACTGTTCTAGCTTGAGACCCGCCGCATCCACTGCAGGTGAGTTTTAAACTAGTAGTATTACCGACACTTTTGAGTCCACTGATATCCGAAACTACTGTGCTGCCAATTAAATGTAAATATAAATATGAAAAAATCCTTTCTGTAATCTTCATACCCTGCTTCAACTTTGAGGCCCAGAAGTAGTGAGATTGAATCAGGGGTTCAATAGATATGGATTTAAGCAGTCTACCCCCTAAAACCAGACTGCGTGAAGCACAGTCTGGGTTTTGGGAACCAAATCCAAAGTTGCACACCATTCTGTCTGATTCAATAGGCTTAAAATGTATTTGTCATGGTACCCTGATATTTTCATTAGTAGACATGGAGTACTGAAGATGTTACAGGCAAAATACAGAATTCTAACCTGAAAAGCTAAAAGGTTCAGGGTAGGACAGGGGTATAGCAGGGCTATAGAGGCCATTAAGAGGTGAAGAAGCCACCCATGCCAATACACGGCTGACATGACGAGCCTGTCCGCGGCTGGAGAGGCTCGTCATGTCAGCCGCGTATTGACAGGGCTGAGTCCCGATACGCGCCTGACATGACGAGCCTCGCTGCAGCTGGAGAGGCTTGTCATGTCAGCCGCGTATTGACAGGGCTGAGTCCCGATACGCGGCTGACATGACGAGCCTCGCTGCGGCTGGAGAGGCTCGTCATGTCAGCTGCGTATCAGCTTGGCTGAGTCTTGATACACGCCTGACATGACGAGCCTCGCTGCAGCTGCACAGGCTCGTCATGTCAGCCGCGTATTGGCAGGGCTGAGTCCTGATACGCGGCTGACATGACGAGCCTCGCTGCGGCTGGAGAGGCTCGTCATGTCAGCCGCGTATCAGCTTGGCTGAGTCTTGATACACGCCTGACATGACGAGCCTCGCTGCAGCTGCACAGGCTCGTCATGTCAGCCGCGTATTGGCAGGGCTGAGTCCTGATACGCGGCTGACATGACGAGCCTCTCCAGCCGCAGCGAGGCTCGTCATGTTAGCCGCGTATCAGGATTCCGCTGTGCCAACAAGCACAAAACCTGCACAAACTCGACTCTACATGAATGAGACAGCCTACGAGCATTAACCTTACAGATGCCTGCACTGTGAGTATGTTCTTATTATATCTTATTGTACCCTTCATTTCTCGCACTCGGCTTTGCAAACGGACGATGGGCCTCTGCATCGCCGAGGGCATGTACTGATACATGATGTTTCATTCTCTTTTCCTCTACTTCTACTATCTACAGATCCTCGAGGGACTAACCTTTCCCTTCCCGACCCCGTCTCTGTCCTCGTCCACGCCTACGCCCCCGCTCACCGCCGCCTCTGTCCCCTGCGCCGCCACGATGTCGGCCGCGGAGGCGTTTTAAACCTGAGACAGCGGGGATCGCGGTCGGGGCTTTGCCTGGCTTCTTCGCGTCCTTGATGGCCCTCAGCTTCGCAAAGCGAGCTGGACGGATGTTGGCTTTGATGTCGCACAGGACGATGGTGCGGTCGCGCAGCTCAACCTCGCCCTGCCGGATCTTCTTGACGATCTCGAGGCCGTGCGCTGTTACGACTGCTCGTCGGTAACCCCAAGAGTAGGAGGTTCTTCCCTAGGTCACTCGTGGAGGATGTGTGGAACGATGGTCTCGACTGTACGTGTAGCACAGGAGCCAGGAGTGTATTGCGGTATAGCAATGAAAGGGTACTGTAGGAAGACAGTACTGAACGAAGTAGACAGTGTGAAGACTGCCTAGTAGTATTACCGACACTTTTGAGTCCACCGATATCCGAAACTACTGTGTTGCCAATTAAATGTAAATATAAATATGAAAAAATCCTTTCTGTAAACCTCATACCCTGCTTCAACTTTGAGGCCCAGAAGCAGCGAGATTGAATCAGGGGTTCAATAGATATGGATTTAAACAGTCTACCCCCTAAAACCAGACTGTGCTTCACACAGTCTGGGTTTTGGGAACCAAATCCGAGGTTGCACACAATTCTGTCTGATTCAATAGGCTTAAAATGTATTTGTTATGGTACCCTAATATTTTCATTAGTAGACATGGAGTACTGAAGATGTTACAGGCAAAATACAGAATTGAGGGAAAACCTCAAAAAACCGAGTCTCCAGTCCACAATTGTCCTTTGATTTCCATTGCAAAACCAATAAAATGCTCCTACATACACTACCTTTCAAATCATCCCCTAATTTTATTATTTGGATAAGGGGATCAAGAGATATGTAATCGTTTGTGATGTTGAGGGTATTCTGCAACCCGGAGACACAGTTTAGTCAGCATCGGGAAAGGGCGGCACACAGTCGGGAGATTGCGGACCCACAGTCGTCACACTGTTGTCACACCACGCACAGTCTCTCTGTTGCGCCACACAGTCCGGCCGAGACCGCACACAGTCCGGATTTTAGCGCTAGTTCAGCGCCACACAGTCCGGATTCTCGGTGACAGTCCGAGATTTGGTGGTGAATCTGCGCCACACAGTCCGGCCGTGCCGCACACAGTCCGATGATTGTCGCGCCACACAGTCCGACTGTGTCAGCACACAGTCCGACTGTGTCGGCACACAGTCCGACTGTGTCGGACACAGCCAGAGTTTTCCCTCCGACTGTGTCGGCACACAGTCCGACTGTGTCGGACACAGTCGGAGTTTTCCCTCTGACTGTGTCGGCACACAGTGCCCTCTAACGTCTCATGATCAAGCACACTGCTACGTCGCGTCGCGTCGACCCTCCCCGCACCTTTGAGCATCAAGCGCCCTCAATTGACATCCCCTCGATATATTAACACCACTCTCTCAGGGAATATCAAGGAAATTGGTAAGATTTTTCTTGATCTCAACTGCTCACTCTGCACGCTCTCGACGATGCAAGCGGACGATGGGCCATCGCCGAGGCCTTGTGAAAGCACACATCGCTGAGAGCGTGTTACTATACTAACTCTTCCTATTATTTTGCTATTGTTAGCTGCTGACCCCGCATCGACTGAGGACTCCATTTTCACCGTCGACATCCACCCTCCGCTCTCTGCACTTTTGCTGCTTCTCCATGCACCCTCGCTCCTGCCGCACATACACTCCGCGCCCATGTACAGAACATCGCCAGCGTCACGCAACTTGTGCTTTGGCCTGTCCACAAGTAGGGAAAGGAGAAGCTAACGGTGGAGATGAGCTGGGAGAGAGGAGGTCGAAGGTACGTACCGCTGGTTCTTTCCTTCCCCCCAGCCCCTCCCTCGAACCAAGTTTCCTTGATGCATTCAATCATTGACGCTTCAGCCCTCGATGCTGCGCATGCTCGCCTGTTTGTTCCCTCAAACTCTTCGAACCTCGATCCCCCTCGCCTACCCAACTGTACCCGTACCCATCCGCGGCGCCCGCTACCCAGACCCACACTCGCCTCCCCTTAATCCGCTCAAGGCTCCCGTCAACCAGTGCCCTCCACTATTTCTGCAGCGCCAGTATCACGCTCTCTCAACGCCTCCACGCTCGCGCTGCCCCACAACATGTGAAGCATTGCGGCCGTTCAAACGTCAACAAGGACGACGAGGTCCAGCTGGCGGCAGAGGATAATGATGAGGACAAGCAATGGCAGCGGCGGAGAATGGGCATAGACAATGAGGACATCCACGATGGATGCAGGTACGTTGTCTCTCGTGCCTGTCCGTCCCCGCGTGCGTGTCTTGTTCTCATCCTTTCCGCCGGCCCCTCCTTCAGCCTGCGTCCCATCTCCCTGTCGACCGTTCACGCCCCCACCCTCAACATCATACACGCCTTCAATGCTATGAATCACATTGACCGTCAATCGCGCCCTCAAGCCCACGTGCGCATGATTGTCCCTTCAAGCTCATGCATGTGCCCTCGCCTGTGACCGACATCTGCGGGCATCCGCTCGACCTCGCGCACGCGCACCCGTCTCCGCGACGCCACGCACCGCCGCTACCGAGTGCCCTGACATCCGTTCCCTTCTTGCGTCACCGCCCAGACCCCACATATACTTGTCCCCTCGAGTGTATTCCTACTCACCATTTGCTCTCTCGCTCGTCTCCTCAACCCCACGCAACCTTGTCCCTTCGATCCCTCCTCACGGATCCCTCCCCATGTCCATCAACCTCCCGCCATCCTCGCTTGCGCGTTGAAGACACCCAACTCCCGGCACTCCACAGCAGATGAGTCGCGCAGGACACACGGCAAGAACTAGCATTGGAGAAACCTGATGTTGAAAGTTCTGCAACGGTGAAGTTCACAAGATGTGAAACAACGGCGCGCTATCTGCGCGCCGCCACCGCCGCCGCGTTCTACGTGCGTCGACGACCCCTTCTCTCACTAAGGCCACTCTCATTCCCTTTCCTTGACGACCCTCGTTCCGTCCGTCATTCTGCCTCTGACCAGTTTTTTGCAGGAACGTTACGTCTTCGCCACTGTCAACATGGAAGAGAGCCTCGTATCTGCGAGAGTAAGTGACGCACACAGCTCGCGCATACGAAGGTTAGGTTAGGTCATCTGTTGCAGGACTGAGGACATGAAACGGCGGCGGGCTGTCCAGGGCGCCCAGTCGCTCCACGCGGCGTAAAAGTGCCAGTGGACAAGTCATGATGCAGAAACGGCCGCGTGCTGTCTGCGGCAGCCAGGCTCCCCACAGCCCAAATTCGCCGAAGGTGAATTTGGGTTTTGTGGGGAGCCTGGCTGCCGCAGACAGCACGCGGCCGCCGACTTCGTCGGCCTCATTTCCTTCCTTCCTCCTCTCCCTCTCCTCCTCTCTCATGCTCCTGATGCTGACATTTGACATCATGAACAGCCTTCTCGGCAGAACGTTGTCGGACACAGGACACTAGAGGGCCTCAAGCGAGCTTCAGACGAGTGTACGATAGCAGCAGAACATGCGCTATCACTGTTCCAGCAGTCTCGAGAGTACGGTCGTGCGACATGCCCAGCCTCGCAGCCTCATTCTCCCCTTGTATCTTCTATTTGTCGGCTAATACCATATGCATGTAGTCCGCGCGACTCGTTCTATGTACTTTGCGTGCATATACACCTCCCTCGAAGCTACTTTCTTAGGTGCTCCTCTGTAGCTACAGTCTGTATTATTTTTCTTGTTGTATCTATATCTATATTTTGAACTCAGGCCCGTTCACCCACACGATTTGTGGGCGAAATTTTTCGCCCGAAGTGGAAGGAGCACCACTCTACCTCGATCGTAATGAACAGCTCTCAATCCAACTCTTCGCTCGTCTCTCGGTACCTCTTCCTTCTCCGCGATCCCTCGTCCACGCCCTGTCCGTGCCAATGTCGACATCCTCTGCTAGCCTGCAAGCCAGAGACTTCTCGACAGGCCATCGGCCACATCCTCTTCTTCTACAGGACGATCGGTTGAGAAACCAGCGCAGACACTGGTCCAGATGAGCGAAATGAGCACTTTAAACCTTTCGTTGTGAGTTATCTTTTGTTCCTTTTACTTCTCGACACTCGCTTCCTTTGCGCTCTCTTTCCTTTGCGCTCTCAATGATGCAAGCAAACGATGGGCCTCCGCCGAGGCCCTGATAAAGCTAGCATCGTTGAGGACGTGTACTGATGTTTCCTTCTCTTTTCCTCTACTTCTACTATCTACAGATCCTCGAGGGACTAACCTTTCCCTTCCCGACCCCGTCTCTGTCCTCGTCCACGCCTACGCCCCCGCTCACCGCCGTCTCTTTCCCCTGCGCCACCACGATGTCGGCCGCGGAGGCGTTCTTCTCCACCAACGCCCCCACGCCCACGCTGCCTGATCACGCTCCAAGCATCGTGACCGTCTGAGCGTCAAAGACGATGACAACGAGGACCACACTGACAATCATGACGACAGCGACAACGACCACGCTGAGGAACGGCGATGGCGGAAAGATAAGCTGGGAAGAGAGAGGGCGCGGACGACGAGGATATCCATGAGGTATGTCATCTTTCTTTGCGCCAGCCCCTCCTCCGACGCCGCCATCCAAGAACTCGCTGCAAGACCGGCCCCCGCGTGGGGGCAGCCTCAGCTACCGCGCGCACCACCCCCGTCCTCCCAGCTCTCCTCCACCGACGCCTCGCGCACGATCGACACCCACACCGCGTTCTCCCCATTCATGTCCACCGCATCCCTCCACACCGCCCTCCTCCTACAAGCGCTCCATGACCATCTCCAAGGGCAACTCCGTCTTCTGCCTCGCTTGCGAGACCCGCAACGAGAAGCTCACGGCCGCCAGCCTTGACTGCATCTCCAAGCTCATCTCCTACTCCTTCTTCGTCGAGGCCAGGCCTCCCGAACACGCATCCTCCCGTCCCCGCCCCTGTCCCCGGGTCCGGGCCCAGCCACTCCACCTCGAGCGCCTCCCAGAGCAACCTCCCCCCGCCCTCGCTCGTGGACCTCGTCGTGCATACCACCACCACCTGCCACACCGAGTCCACCGCCGACTCGGTTAGGCTCCAGGTCGTCAAGGCCCTCCTCGCTCTCGTTCTCTCCTCCACCATCCTCGTCCACCAGTCCTCGCTCCTCAAGGCCGTCCGCACCGTTTACAACATATTTCTCATGTCCACCGACCCCCACCCGCCGCCGCAGTGTCCACCGCGTCGCTCGCATCCAGGGCTGACGACGCCCCGTCCGCAAAGCGCGACTCGTTCGCGCCGTCCACGCCGGACATCGAGCCGCCGCGCGCGCTGCCGTCCCAGGACAAGGTGCCCTCGGCAGATGACATCTCGCTCGAGATCCCGCTCCCTCTTTTGCCGCTGGTAGCTGCCCACGACGACTTGCCTGTCCTCGAGCTGCCCTCGTCGAATGGGATCGAGCACGGCGTGGACAGGCCGGATACCCCTCACGCGTGGGTCTCCCTCGCACAGTTCCGCTTGTGTCCCCTTTTCACTGTTCTGCACGCGAGCGAGCTCTCGCCCGAGCACCCCAGCCCAGGGGCATCATGCTCCCCCGGCACACACGATGACGATCAACGACCTCTTCCTCAAGGATGCCTTCCTCGTCTTCCGATCCATGTGCAAGCTCACAATGAAGCCCCTCAACTCGGAAAGGTTCGCTCTCTCCTCCTCGCACCGCATCCACATCACCCCCTACTAATCCCCGCACCTGCACGCCCCGCCCACAACGAGCACGACCTCAAGTCGCACTCGATGCGCTCCAAGCTGCTCTCCCTGCACATGGTGCTCGTCATCTTCAACGCGCACATGGACGTCTTCGTCTCGCCCTCGTCGCTCATCCACTCGAGCTCGTCCCACGAAGCGACCCCGTTCGTGCAGATGGCGAACTAGTACCTCTGCCTCAGCCTCAGCAGGAAAGCAGCCAGCCCCGTCCCGCAGGTGTTCGAGATCAGCGTCGAGATATTTTGGCGCGTGATCACGGGCCTCCGGACGAAGCTCAAGGTGCACACGCGCGTAGGGGGTCTGTCTTCGCAGACCTAGTTTTGTTTTGATTGCGCCTGCAGAAAGAGATCGAGGTCCCGTTCTACGAGATCTTCTTCCCGATTCTCGAGATGAAGACGTCGACGCTGAAGCAGAAGGCCGCCATCTTGGGTATGCTGTCACGCCTTTGTCACGATCCGCAGGCGCTCGTCGAGATTTATCTCAACTATGATTGCGATAGCCAAGTCGCAGACAACATCTACGAGCAGTGAGCATGCCCCGCCTCCTCTCTTTTCCTCTGCTCTGCTCTGCCCTCTGTTTTTTTCTTTTTCTTTTTCTTTGTTTTTTTTGTCTGTGTATGCAGCTCGCTGAACACCCTGCCCGCCGCGCGCGCAGCCTCATGAACATCATCACCAAGATCGGCACCAGCACGCTCCCGTCCGCCGCGCAGCAGAAGCCGGCGGACCCTGCGAGCCCCACGCTGACACCCACGAGCAAGGCGTACGCGCCGGGCATCCCGCCGTCACTCGTAACGTCCGCCGTGGCCGTCTCAGGCTCGCTCGATACATCCGCGCTCGGCCACTCGGAGCAGCAGCTCTGCCGCCAGAGCCTCGAGTGCCTCACTGCCGTGCTACGCTCGCTCGTCGCGTGGGGCACCGCGCCCGACTCTGCGTTGGCCGCGGCCGCGGCGGGTGCATGGCGCGTCAGCGTCGGCGAGGACGGGTGCCCTGAGGGATTGACGCCCGACGCGTCGCAGTCGCTGGATAGGCTCCCGACGGGTGGCCCGAGCGCGGAGGCGACGAGGCAACCGACGCCGGATATCCACGACGACCCGGGCCGGTTCGAGAGCGCGAAGCAGAAGAAGACGATGTTGCTGGAGGGCGTCAAGAAGTTCAACCTTAAGCCAAAGCGAGTGCGTGTTTTCTTCGGCCGAAGAGGGCTGACCGATGGGCGGGTGTTAGGGCATACAACTTTTGCTCGAGACGGGTTCATTCTGAGTAAGGCGCCGCAGGACGTCGCGCGGTTCTTGTTGCATATCAATGGGCTGAGCAAGTCGATGATCGGTGAATACCTCGGCGAAGGGTGCGCGTTTTCCACCTCCTCCGTTTGCGATGGCTCATCGGGTTGCAGGGACGAGGAGAACATCGCGACCATGTACACGTTCGTCAACATGCTCGACCTGCGGAACATGCCCTTCGTCGACGCGCTGCGCGTCTACCTGCAGGCGTTCCGCCTGCCCGGGGAAGCGCAGAAGATCGATCGGTTCATGCTCAAGTTCGCCGAGCGCTACATCGAGGGCAATGCAAACACACCGTTCGCGAACGCCGATGCGTGTCCCACGCGCTGCTCATCCGCGCGCGCGTCTGACGCGCCACGGCCCCGTTTCCGTTGCAGACACCGCCTACGTGATCTCGTACTCGGTCATCCTGCTCAACACGGATGCGCACAATCCGCAGGTGAAGAAGCGCATGACGCGCGCGGACTTCGTGAAGAACAACCGCGGGATCAACGAGGGCGCGGACCTCCCCGAGGAGCTGCTGTCCGCCATCTTTGACGACATCGTGAACAATGGGATCCGGATCAAGGATGAGGTGGACTCGAGCCTAGTCGTGTCGCTCGCGCCAGGTGCGGGGCAAGCGAGCGCGCTCGCCACGGTCGGGCAGGACTTGCAGAGGGAGGCGTATATGCTGCAGTCGAATGGCATGGTGAACAAGACCAAGGTGCGTGCTTCTTGATGGCGTCGAGCGTCGAGATGTCGGTGCTGGGGTGGTTTGCTCACGCGTCGGTTATGCAGGCGCTGTTCAGGACGATGATGCGGTCCTAGTGCAAGGTTTCGCGGAGCGGCGAGCAGTTCTTCAGCGCGTCGAGGTCGCGTGGATCCCGTTCCTCGCGGGGATCTCGGGCCCACTGCAGGAGACGGACAACCTGGATGTCGTGGAGCTCTGCCTCGACGGCTTCCGAAATGCGATCCGGATCGTGTGCTTCTTCGATCTCGAGCTGGAGCGCAACGCGTTCGTGACGACGCTCGCAGAGTTCACGTTCCTGAACAACCTCGGGGAGATGAAGACAAAGAACATGGAGGCGGCCCAGACGCTTCTCGACGTCACAGTCATGGAGGGCAATAACCTCAAGGGCTCGTGGCGCGAGGTGCTCTCGTGCGTGAGCCAGCTGGAGCATATGCAGTTGATCAGCAGCGGCGTTGACGTCCTTGGATGCGCGCAAAGGTTATGTCGCGCGTGCTCCGATCGTATTTGCGTAGACGCGTGTCGACTTGTTGAATTTTAATTTAATTCTCTCATTGTGGTTTCTAGGCGCACACGAAAGCTGCCCAACGAGGAGCTGGCGAATGAGAGTAGATCGACGCACATCACCGTCGCGGCGGACATGGTGTTCTCCCTAAGCCATTACCACACAACGATGAATTGCAAAACCGGAGCAAACTCTGCTCTACGCGCACTAGACGACTTGTAACCATAACCATGACAGACCCCTGCTCCTGTAAGTGTATCTGTATTCTACTTTTCGTTGTCCCTTCTTTCCCGCCCTCGGCATTGCAAACGGACGATGTGCCTCCGCCGAGGCCTTGAGAAAGCAAGCAGTGTTGAGGATTCCCATTGTGGTCCTTATCTTTGTCTAACAATGATTTCAGATCTTTCTGTAGGTACTTGTGCCGCTTGGGTATATCATGAGAGACTTTACGCGTGCGCTAACCTCGGTATGGCATGTTATTTCTGGCCCTTCAAGCTCTCCCACCATGTTTCATTTATCTGCAAGTCTCGACGTGCCGTTTCTCTCTTTCTCCTACATTCATCGACCTCACCCATTCCTTTCCTCTTTTCAGATTCCTACCTCGCAGCCTTCCAAGTTTCAACTCAGTCGATCGGATTGGCAAGGTCCCACGGCGCCCTCTATGTTGTTAGCAACACGACAGCTCAAGCAACTCGGTATTTTAGTAGAAGATTGTCGTTGTCCCTACAAGAACCTTTTGCACTCCAGCTTTCAATGCCTTCCGTGTCACAGGAGTGCCTCAATGCCCTCGCCTCCCGGGTCAAATCTTCACTCAAGCTCTTGCGCACGCTCAAAGTTCAACAGGCTGCTGCGCAGAGCACCATCTCCATGCTCAAGTCGAAGGTTTCCTCGCTCGGGTCACTCGCCCAGGCATCCTAGACCGTGTCACCGCCAAGATCCTGTGCATGCCCGACGCCACTCTTGCCCTCTCGACCCGCTCGAGCGTCGAACCTAACCCTCGATCCCGCCTGCGCACGCTCGGTTCTCTTCAGTACATGCATCCATTTGCCTGCGACCCAAATTTATATGCGTACGTCACCTCGTCCCCTCAAGCCCCAGAGCCTACGCACAAAGCATAGCAGACATCATGCCACACGCGCTCTAGTGTGTTGACGAGGAGGGTGAGTAACAGCTGGCAACAAAGACATGAACTAGGGAGAGGGAGGCCGAGCGTCACCAAGGTGTGTACCTACCGCTCTGATCCTTTCTGCCGACCCTGCGACGCCCTCGATCTCTAACGCCAAGCCCGTTCGCTCACTTAATTCCCTCAATAGCCAGTTCTGCCTTTGTGCCCATGCGTGAACGTGTGACCCCTCAACGCCATGCACCTGCCTTTGCATACTATCCCCGTTCATCCGCGCGCTTCCCCCTGTCCCGTCAAGCCCAAGTTAGACTCATCTAGCCCACGCCCGTCCGCCACCGAATGCCCTCGATCCCTTTCATCCCTTGAGCTCACGCATCCGCCTTCGCCTGCGACCCAGATCCGACCCAGATCCGCTTCCGCATGACTCATCCAGCTCGCGCACGCGTGCACGCACAACCTCTCGACGGCCCCTCGACCACTCCTCCCTCGTCCTGGATCGTTGTTAAAACCAAAGGCACACTCGACCCCGTGCACGCTTGACCCCTCATCCCCTCATCCCCGTCGCCCTCGTCCTCTCGAGTTTGCGCACACTCGATCTCACATTCGTCAACAGTCCCATCCTCGACCTAACCTAACTGGCTGGTAGCGTAGGAAGAAGAGGACCGGCAGCGGCGGTGGCGGCTGAGAGACGGGCTGGGAACATGGATGGGCGTGGAGGACGAGGATATCTATGGGGAGATGCACGCTCGCTGACCAGGACAAGCGTCATGAAGGTGCGTCGTCGTCCCTCGTGGCGCCAGTCCTTCCCCACACATGTGTATATCTTGACCTCATCCTTTCCGCCCGCCCCGCCGCCTACCTGTCTCCCCTCGACACTCGTCCGTTCAGCCCACGCTCCCCACGTTTCCGGCCGTGCATCCCTTCGACCCCACATACGCACACTCATATCTGTGAACACAAGCACGCCCACCACCCAGTGTCCTCGCAACCATTCCGCCCGCCTGTCCGCTCAACCCGATGAAGCTGCGATTCCGCCCCCAATTTCGCCCGCGCATATTCGTCCCCTTCAGCGCACGCACCACCTGGGATCCAAATCCTTGAGCACGCGTATCCTCTTCCCTTCGAGCCCATGGTCATGTCCTCGAGCCCACGTTCGTGTTCATCCAGTGCCCCTCGACCTCCTGGGCCATCAAAGTTCACGCTTGTGCCCTCATGCCCAAGCGCTCACGCGCGTCCCCTCGACACCACGCAAGGTTGCCTCCTCATTCTCCCTCCCTCGACCTGCGTCACCACTGAGACCCCGCGGTCCAACAACAGTTGGCGTCCCCACACTGTCGCCGTCCCTCCACGTGCCCTCGCTTCCGCACACAGAGGATCACAAATATTAAGCCATACGCGCTTTAGCGCGTCGACGAGGAGGTCAAGGAGCAGCTGGTGGCAGAGGAATGAGCTTGGCAGAGGAAGGCTGAGCGTTACCAAGGTTCGTACCTCTCGCTCTCGCCCTTTCCACCCGCCCTTTGCTCAACATGTGTCCCGCAACCTCTGCAGCCTCCTTGTCGTTATGGCTGCTCGCTCACTTGACCTCCTCGTTAGACAACCCCGCCTCTGATGCGTGCACGTGCGACCCCTCGACGGAAGCACCGAAATGAGTGAGCGCAAGGCGGCTTGCGATGGCAGCATGGGAAAGTTAGTTTAGGTTCCCGACATCCTCCTACTTCGCCCACGAGCTCTGGGTCGGTCGGATCCTCGAGTTCGCACGACGCCGGCCGCTCACGCGCCCCGTGGACGACCCTGGGGTAAGCACCCACCCCGCCCCGCCCCCGTGCTGCTGCCCCTCTGCGTGTGTGCGTGTGTGCGTGTGTATGCGTATGTGCGTGTGTTCACCGCGCGTCTGACGCGTCCTCGCCGTGACGCGAGCAACCGTAGGTCTGGGCTAAGGTCCAGTGGTACTACTCCGGCGCTGACGTCGCCAACGATACCGACACAGAGTGAGTCTCCCACAGTCCTTTCCATTCTACAGACCGCTTTGGTCGTCCACGCTAACGCCGCCGCAGCCGCAGCCGCACACGCCCCCCAAAAAAGCCCCGCCAACATCCAGGCAAGCTACGGCCGCTACGAGCGCCTGCGCGCCGACGAATCCGACTACGACTACGTCGCGCATACCTCCTTCAACGGTGCGTCCTCCGCCGCACGTCTCCCCGCCCGTGACGGCTGACTGACGGCGCTGCATGTTGAAGGCCCCACGAAGATCATAGAGCACCGCGAGGCGGACATCGAGCAGCCCCAGATCGCCGATGGCGAGTTCTACGTCCGCCGCGCGTACTCCCGCCTCTCCAAGTGTGCCACCGTGAGCCCTCACCCTCACCCGTCGCCCTCCCGATCCTCACAAACCCCCTCAAATCCCCACACATTTTATGTCAGTACCAACGCCAGTAAGTGGACTATTTTCACGACCAGCGCCCGTAGGGAGAGGTCAATGTAGATGACAAGCAAGGAAAAGAACCAACTCAAAAACCAGAACGTGCGATGCGTCACAACCAAGACAGATGCCCGTTGTTTAAGTCGACTGCCAACCCGTCCATCAGGAGCTGCTCCACGTCTGCGTTGTACGTCTATCCACCCCGTGCCGCCTCCTGCCCGCCGACGAACACGCTCCCAGGCGCGCTCGGTACTCCGAGCACCGTGACGCGCGCAAGCGGCTGTTCCACGCGGAACGTACCTGTGCTCTCAATAGTGAGCGCGCCCGCGTGCACGATGAACCGCACCGTCCGGTTCGCGATTGGGGAGTCCGGTAGCGGGAGCGAGGTCCCGTCGTCGAGATATGCCGTGCCGTATGCTGCGACGTCAACACCGAGTGCAACGAGCAACGCGTACGGCCCCGCTCGCGTCTCGCGTGTCGTGTACGCCGGCTGCGCGTGTGTGAGGAGTGCGGCGCCCGCACGGATGTGCACATTGACGTGCCCGAGGGGCGCGGAAAGCGTGGTCGGCGCGCCCACGGCCGCGTTTACTGCAGTGTGGGTGTACCAGTCGCGCCATGTTATCTGCCCGCGGCCGAGGAAGATGCCTGACATGACACAATGGGGATGAGCAATCGAGCGGGTATGAATTCCATGTCGACCTACCGTCGACAGTAGACACATTGGGCTCGAGCACAGGCGTGACGAGAATGTCGCTCCCGACCATGAACTGGCGGTCCACCGCAAACAGCTGCGGCTCGTCGGGGAACTCAAAAAAGAGCGCGCGCACAGGTGTGCCGTTCGTCGAGGCGTTGGCAAACAGTGTGTACTGCCCGATCCCGTCCGCGGTCAACGATGAATCGCGGATTTGAATCTCTAGCATACGAAGAGGCTCACCCAGTACGGCAGGAGCGCGTAGCGTATTGAGATCGCGGTCTTGCTCGCGTTGGCGACACTATCCCATCTGTAAGGCTCCTGGGACAGCGCGCCGCGCTGGTTGTGATTTCTATAGAACGGCGTGAACGCGGATAGCTGCATCCAGCAATTGCACAACTCCTCGTCCGTGTTGCCGACTGCTCCGCGTATGCACAATATAACCCACGGTTAGGCTCAAGCAAGCAGGTGAATCGACAGCAAGGACTACGCACTGAAGTCGCACGTGTCGGCGCCGACCATCGGGATTTGGAACAGCTAGAACTGGAGCACGCCTGCGATGCTGTGCGCCATGTATGCCCACTTGCTGTAGTTATCCCCAAGCTATCTACCTTATTTCCCGTCATCAGGGTAATGACGGTTGTTTCCGCTTCGCTTTTCCGCTTTTCCGCTTCGCTTTTCTGCTTTTCCGCTTTTGCTTTTCTGCTTTTCTGCTTTTGCTTTTTGCTTTTCTGCTTTGAGTCTGCCCTGTTTTTTGTGGGACATTTAAATATACTTGACCACCTTGTATAATCTTTAAGGCTTTATACCAGTCTATTAAATCTGTAATCAAGACTGCTGGACAACAATCAAATACGTGTACTGTGTTTGACCTCTACACTATTGACTATTTTTTTGAAAACCATGATTTCCCGGCTTTATATAAAGAGTTTTCAAATTCCATCAATATATCTAGGATTCAGTTACTGAGGCTCACCTAAAGGCAAATTTTCGAAATTTTAAATTTTGGAAATCCACTGTATCGCCGGCTATTTTTTTGAAAACGGTGTTTTTCCAGCTTAATAATGAAAATTTTCGAATTTCGTCGATAGATGTGGAACTATCTACTGAAAACGCATCTTTTCAATATTTTCGAAATTTGCATAATTTTCCCACACCCCGCACACCCCGGGTGGAGGGGGGGGGGGGGGGGGGCCAACTCCCCCCCCTGACATAAGCAATAGAAGGAAGGTCACATGTTGAGCCAAATATGCGCAAACTGCCACCTTGTTATATAACTAGGCCAAAGTGTGACATGTGTGACTTTCCTTCTTGACCATCAACCACAACCATCCAGTAAGTCTTCAAAATTCGAAAAAATTCGATTATTTTTATTCTTTTTTAATTCTTTTCTGAAGGGGGGTGGTCAGTTCCCCCCCCCTGACTAAGCCTTTTTTAAAATTCGAAAAAATTCTAATATTTAATTGATTTAAAAATTGATTTGTTTATTCATTTTCTAGGGGGGGGAGTCAGTCCCCCCCCCTGACTAAGCAATGCCTTAAAATATCGCAAAAAAGCGAATAAAATATTTATTTTAAAACCTTTTTAATTCTTTTTATCAAAGAGTCTAAAGGACTCTCTATATATTTTAACATATTTATTTTCGCATTTATTTGATATTCAACCTTCGTAAAATCAGTTGATTCATGTTACTGATTGATGTTGTTCTATAGACTGCTTTATATACATTCAAGCTTTCTCGCTTCTTCTTGAATTCATTGAAATGTGTATGTTGTATTTAAATCTGAAGATTTAAATCAATCAATTAACATGTATTTTATAGCTGATTCTAGCTCAAACACCTCCTCGCCTGCTCAAAGCTCTATGGCCTCTTCATCTTTGGCTTCTGCTTCTGCTCTTTCCCCTATTCCTGCTCTTGATCCTATTTCCACTCCTATTCCTCTTCCTGCTTCTACTACCCCTGAGCCTGGAACTCTTGCAGCTTTAGGCCCAATGCCTACTTTCAGTGATTGGCAAAAGCAAATTGACATTTCCTTGGCCAAAAATAGCATGGTCAGGGTCTTGCTCTCCAATAGGATTATTGGCTTTCCTGGCCAGCGTCCTAGGTTAGGTTAGGTTAGGTTAGGTTAGGTTAGGTTAGGTTAGGTTAGGTTAGGTTAGGTTAGGTTAGGTTAGGTTAGGTTAGGTTAGGTTAGGTTAGGTTAGGTTAGGTTAGGTTAGGTTAGGTTAGGTTAG